AAACAATAACAAACAAAATAATAGCCCAACATCATATACAAAGAGGAAAATGGAAAATTGCAAGAAAAATCGTTTTCTATTTTGTCACTTAATAGTGTGATTCCGTCATATGTCTATACATATTTATATTAATTATTTAATAAAAAAGTAACTAAAATAAAACGTTTCTTTGTTGACCTAAGTAGGAATTGACTTAAAAAAATGTTTATATTACTTTTTTTCATTAATTAACTAATATAACATCCACTTGTGTTTTGAATATAAATTTATTTTGTTTTCTTACACGCACCCATTTTAATGAAAATTAATTACATATAATTCAGTGAAAATACATTCCTTGATGATAGCATTTGCTTGCATTTATCTCGATTAAGTAATCTTATTATCAAACCTGTTCCAAAATATAATAATCAACAACCTATCGAAAGTTAATTACAATCTGAGTAGCAATAATCTATCTTTGCTCGAATCCTCATAGCCCGGAGACTTTTAAATAAGTACACCCAATTAAAACAGATATCTGAAGATAAAAAAATAATAAGCTAGCATCCCATCGTCGACGAATCTTCATTGGACTATTACCAGTCCCTTATTACAAGAAAAATTACCTTAATTATTTCGATCTGTCGAATGGCAATAGTAGTGGCCTGTTCTGATGAATGATATCCTCAAACTCAGTGTGAAAGGCTTAAACCTCATTTACTTCACAATATCTACAACCTTCCATGGAATAAATTAAAACCCGGCACCGTGCTGATTACTTATCCTTATGAAAAATATTCTTGGTCGCCTCTTACCTGAAAGCTATCTGTTACTTGTTCTGGATGTCACTATCTTCGTCTCCAAAGGGCCACAGCCCGAAGACAAAGTATCCGAGGGCGGTGGATATTTATTCATTCATTTTCATTAGAGAGGTGGCAGCGAGGAGAGATAGGCCATCCGTCATTAAGGCACCGGCGACAAAAAAGTGCCTAGAAAAAAAATGGCGAAGAAGTAAGAGAGGGAAAAAAATCACTGGAGATGATCAGGGTCCGAAAATAAGAAGCAAGACGCAAGTGGCACATCTCTAAGGTATGGGGGCTGCTGGAGATTGGATCCTTTGTCATGGAATGTCACTGGTTAGGGTCCTAAGAGGGTGTGTGGAGTATAATGACGAGTCCTCTTCTTCGGGAACAATTACCGAAGAGTTTATTATGTTTTTTGTTTTTGTTTTCGAGGGTTCTTGTGGGGAGAGTTGGGAGTATATGAAAAAAATGGGAATATATCAGGTGGAATTTTGATTTATTTTCTTAATTACCGTGTTAACTCGAATCTAAGCCGCAGTCGATTCTATGCGGCATCCCCAATTATCTAAACATTTTTGAGAAAAAATAATTTGTGCAAAAGGTTCATCGATATCCGATCATTGAGAAATTCGTTAAAAAATTAATGAGAAATAATAAATTAATAGTAATTGTTCAGTGTTGAACAAATAATTCTTGTGACGCCCACAATAACAAGTGAATATTTGTCGCGAGAGGGCGCTAGTGTGTGTAGAGTTCAGTGTATGTGTAACCTTTGTGTGAGAAAGAGCGTGTGGAGAAGGCTCTAATAAAATTCTTGAACTCAATGTGGTGTGAAATATTTTTAGTGTAAAAGATGAGTTATCAACGAGTGAAAAAACAGTAATTAATTTATTTTACCAGTACTAAACACTTTCAAATACATACATGAATCTATAATTACTCTAATCATCAATATCATAGTTCGGAAATGGTTCGTCACTACCAGTAGCGCAAACGGGAATTTTTCAAAGGGTCGAAAGTCTGCATTCTTATATCATGCTCCAGTACGCCGCGCAACATATTCTTTTGATTTTGTCGATTTTCGGGAACAAAAATAGTAAAAAATTAATTATTAATACTAATTATTGAATAAATAATTAGCATGAATAAATAAAATTAATTATTAATAATTACTTAATTAGATTTTACGTACTTTATACATAGGATTATAATCAATCGAAAAAAATGAAGGACTATGGGGGGAGTTCAGACCCGAGGAAATCCTCTGCCCTTGTGTGCAGCATTGGTCACTACCATTGTTACAGCTGACTTTGAAATTGCTGCCTCAACGTCGCCATTTTCCCACATGGTGTCGCCTTCTGTGCCATACAAAGAATTTTTCCTGCAACATTTTTTTTTGAAGAACGTATTATAGAAGAATGCAAAAGAAATTATTAAGACTGTTGAACATTTACAAGCAAAAATTATATCATTTTGCTTACGCCATCCACGTATAAGTGTTTCATCAGTGTCAAAATTTTCATTGGCCCTTGCTCTGTTTTCTTTTTTTCCTCCTGCACATAAAATTGCCTCCCTTTTCTTTTTCTGGAGTCATAGTGAACTCGTCATGATGTTATTCCCAATATCTATGATATTTAGAATTTTAAAAAAAAACTTACGTGGTTAATCGGTCAGTTCGCGTAAGTTCGGGGTATTACTATGAGGCCGCGGTAGCCTAGTGGTCAAGGTATCGGATCGTGACTGGGGCATGTCATGAATTCGTGCCCAGTACCACTAAAGATCCGCCGTGTAAGGGAGCGATGCACTTTAAATCTGTCGAGAGCTCAAACGTCTTCCCGTTGGTGTGACGTGGTAGTTAGGATAAGGGGGGTTGCCAGCTCAGGTGTCGTCCTCATCACTTGATCATGGTTCAAAATGACGAGGTCCGTCACCAAAAGCCCTCGCGTAGCTGAAGTGTAAGACGTTAATATTCTCTCACTCTCTCAGTTGAATTATTAATGTACTCAATTTCATTCAAAAATAAATAAGTTATCGGAAAGCAGAGTTAATTCTAAGTCATATTTTTAAAAAATATATTTTATTTACTTTCAGCGATTTTTAATTTAATTTTTGTTGCAACATTTTGAAAAAAATCCATCCTCGTCTTTGTTAACGTCGCGCTATACAGCAACACGAACGCTATTGGTGACAGACCTGGTAATTTTAAGCCGCGGTCAAGTGACAAGGAGGACACTTACACAAAAACTTCCACACCACGCCAATCGCGTTGCTTCAAAGTGCGACATTAATAAGTAATGAATGAAAGCTTTTTTTTTTGAAAAAACAAGGGACATACGTTTTATTATGTTTAAAATTCTAATATGCCATCATTTCGATGTCCAACACTTCTGGTAAGCAAAAAAGTACATTATAAAATAAAGAAGAATTCAAATTACATAACAGAGACATTGATACAGTTTGTAGTTTTTTTCTGTATTTGTTACCTTTACCATTCGAAAAAAATATAAATATTAATTACAAAAATGTCATCAATATATTAGTTTCAAAATAGTTTATTTTTTATTCTCTCTCTCGTTTTATATATTGATGAGTTTTTCGAACAAAAAAACATTGACAAATATCAAAGGCACTCAATGTGTATGAAATTGTTGCGAATGTTATGATGATGTTGGAAAATACTTTTTTTTATTTAAAAATAAAAATAATCCATTTGAGCAAATTACCGTAAAATCCGGCGTATAACGCCAACCTACACTTTCAAGCTACAGTTTTAATTTTTACGCATATTCACCACATAACGCGCACTCTCTTTCTCTTTTTTATGAAGAAACCTGAAATGTACGAGCTGAGTGCTCTCATGTTTTGAAGTTATTTATTCGAGGTATTATTGCAAACTTTAGAAAAAATGGTATACTTCTAGAACTACAATCCATTAAGCTCATGTGGTATGTCATTTCTTTTTTCTAATTCAAATCCAACTGTTAGTTCACTCTCTCCCTATATATATACCTTGTTCTAATTTTCAATCGTTTATAAAATACTTTCTAGTGGATGACACTTGATGTTTATTCAGTTTTTTCACATATTAATTCATTAATTAAATTTAAAAAATGAATAAATAGTAAAGAACAAAATAATAGTTCAACAGCAAAAAAGAAAGGCAAGTTCATTGTGTCCCTGTAGCGAAGGGGTGGGCAGACTTTTCCAGGGTGCGGGCTACTTCTAATTTTTTCAAGGAGTTGCGGTCCACCCAGTGACAGTGGACCACACAAGGCAAGGGAGGGGTCCACGGGTCCAGACCCTCCCTCATAACCCTTCATTTTTAGTTCGATTCATTATAGTCCCATGTATATAGTACTTAAAATGTAGATTAGTATTTGATATTAGTAATTATTTTTATTTATTAATGTTAATTATCTTTTCAGGAATTTATTTTTTGCTCTTTTTTGTTCATGGCAATCCAAAAAATATGTTTGGCTGAGCATTGAGGTATGATACGAGAATGGTAGACCTCCAACTCTCGACCCCCTTCCCTTTAAAAATTCATGTTTGCGCCAATACTGTCCTGCTAATGTCGTAGGTGGGGTGAGGTAAGGAAAAGGTTATTATTATAACCCAACATATGCACTCTCTTATATATATATATAATTATATTCTTGCAAATATTTTTGTTTATTATTTATATTTTCTTTTTTCGTTTATGTAATTTATATTGCATTTCTATTTATTGCTGTTATATTCATGTATTTTGCTTAGTTTATAATACTATGTAGAAAAATAAAATAAGATTAAAAACAATTATGATCCTAAACAACATAGAAATATAATAGTAGAACTGCATGTCCTGCTTGTCTATTAGAGGAAAAGTTTTTTAAAATACTTATATATATAATAATATATAAAAAAAAAAAATAAGAAAAACACTTTTAAAACCGCGTTTTAAGCAAAACGCAAGATACAAACTTAATAATAATAACCCTAAACATAATTATATCAAATGATGCTTTTTTATTGCGAAACAATTCAAAATACATTTAAAAAAACATTTTTATCTAAAGTTAGTTTTCGTTGATATAGTCAGTAGAAGGCTTAGTCTGCGCAACTGTCAGACAATCTTGAATTTTCCATATATAATTACTAACTGATAAAAATTTTAGGCGGTCACCCCAAAATGTCTTGGCGGTCCACCAGTCGATCGCGATCGACGTAATGCCCACCCCGGCTGTAGCACAATGGATAGCGCGTTGGACTTTTCATCCAAGGGTCGTGGGTTCGTATCCCACCTGGGATAAGCTAATTTCTGAGAATGTCATTTCGTTTTACTATACTATTTTATTGGAATAATTAAATTTAATTAATGAAAAAAATTTAACAAAAAAAGTTGTCCAATTATAGAAATGGTTGACCCCTATATAGAAAAGAAAATTGAAAATTGCACGGAAAATCGCTTTCTATTTTGTCACTTAATAATGTGTGATTCTGTCGTATGTATATACATGTAAATAAAATTTTAACTATTTAATTAAAAGTAACTAAAATAAAAATTTTCTTTGCTGACTCAAGTAGGAATTGACTCAATTTTTTTTTATATTACGTTTTTTTCTATGGTCATCTTGTTTTTCTATTTAATGCTCTCATTTTCCCGGAGTATAACGCTCGCCCGTAAATTTCAATCTTATATTTTGTGCTAAAAGTGCGCTTTATACGCCGGATTTTACGGTAAGCAAAAGATTTTTATAGCATAAAACTTCTGGTTCACACTGTTTTTTTTTTTTTTTTTTTTTTTTTTTTTTTTTTGCATTTTGAATTACAGAATGAGATTGAAAGAGGAGAGAAATTTTCAATTTCCAATTTTTTTTCTCTTCATGTTTTAGATATACATTTCAAACTTGAGCGACCTACAACTTTAATCATCCTTCAACCTACGTAATCTTTATCAAAGAAAATTATCGCAAACGCCAATGTAATTATTGAATTAAACTTCTACGCTAATTAAACTGTCAGAGTAAATCAGATACATCCATTGTTGAAGATAGAAAAACAAATAATTTAATCCAATATCACCCTGCGCAATATATCACGCTCAAACTGCAGAGCATTCGCCATAAATCTAATGTCTTATTTCCGATCATCAAGAAGAGCGTCTGTAGTTCTCTGCTCAATAATTCATTCGTCATACCATTAATAAATGTGTTGAGTGGGCAAGTGGACAATGAAGTTCGATTAATTTGTTGATTCCGCAAGTTGATAAGCGTCTTTAAAAGATTGGCTTCAATGAGCGAATGAAGATTGGCCTCCATCTGAAATCAATGAAAAAGAAAAACGCGCCGATGACATTTTAAATTACAGAGGGTATAATTCACTGCTAAAGGATGGTTTGGATACCTCTGGTGGAAAAATTAAAGGTGGGGAGATCAAAAAAATTTGAAAGGGATGGGCAAGATACATGCTCATTTTATGTCCTGGGGGTGGTCGGAGTACGCTCGTTACATTGTATTAGTGGTTTTTTGGAAGTAGATGTAGTTGTATGATAATGACCAGTGAATGTAAATGTAAAACTCCTCGATGCATCATTCTGGTAGTGCAAGGTGGAAGCTCTCATGCTTGCAAATTTATTTATCTTTTTCATAAAACGATTCATCAACAAGAACAGAAGTCTTAAATATGACTTATTGGATTGCATTACTGGCAATTAAAATACAAACAGAGCTCCAAATACGGATTAAGTGATTGTTCATCAACAATTTCTCAATAAAATGTTCAAACTTATAAAGGTTTTGTAGGAGGGATACTCCGAAAATATGTTTCGTCATTTTTTTGAAAGGGAAGATGGTATGCCAAGTGAAAATACCATAAGAAACCACATCTATTGCTGTCTCAACGACGGAAGGAGCGTCAGCTTGGGAGTAATGGCGCATGCGCAGAGTGTTGAAGAAAAGAGAGCAGCAGCAGATCGGCGTCCTCGAGACTATTCCAGTATAAATCTTAAGTGGCAGGCATAGATATGCTGGCAACATAGTGGCAAAAAGAAATGCAGTGAAGGAAGTTTAACGTGATAACGATTAAGATAAAACATTGGTTAACATGAAATAACACAACAGTCCCTATTAAGAAGACAGTGTATAACAAGGGTGACAAACTCAAAGGCTAACGTGGGCCAAACAAACAAGGATTATCTTTTGGTGGCCCGCAACAAAAAAAAATCAATATTCATAGAAACGTAGTCTATTTTTCAATAATACATATATATATATAATATGTTTGCATATATGATCTCGCTCCAACACCGTTCAACCGATCACTTTGAAAATTGGCATGTATATGTGTTTTTTGTGCTATCCTTTTTGTTGCAGCTTCCCACCAGGTAGCTCTACAGCATATCACTTCTGCACCATTCAATCAATCATTAAGTTGCCAACAAAATGATGCCAACTTTGTTCTATTAATAATTTATTACGCTGAGTAATATTGTTACAGATATATATTTTCAGAGAGACAAACAAACGTAATTTTTCTGTTATTTTCATATTGATCTTTTAATTTTTTCACCTTACAAATTATAAAAAATATGCAACTTTTTACAATATTTTAGCATATGAATTTGCGAATAATTTAATGGGATGTGAAATTTTTCAACATTCGTTCATTCCTTTCTTCCTCAATGGCTCGACAACCCAGGGTGGACCTTGGCCTCCTCAAGAAGCCTTTCCCAGGCCAGCCTGCTTCCTGCTATTATTATTCAATTTTTAGTTCTCAAAACTAGGATATCTTTTTCAAGGCCATCAATCCATCTTCGATTTGGCCTGCCTTTTCTCCGTGTGCCAATTGGTTGAGAATTGAAGATATTTTAGAGGTGCGGTCTTTGTCCATTCTGACAACGTGGCCTGCCCAGTGCTGGTTTATCCATTAGGCACTCGGGTGTGGACGCCCAGGAGCCTGGGACCCAGATAAGCTGGCCTTAACCAGATTTTCTAGTTATAAATTTCGATCCTCCAGTACGAAGAGGGCCTGTAGATTTTGTGCGCCCTGAGCCTGAAATGGGCACTGGACCTGCCCATTTAATTCGTTGTATTTTGAGGAAGTTACAGAAAGCAGATTCTCTATATGAGTGATATAGCTCTGAATTTGGTCTTTTTCGCTACGTTCCTTTTTCTTGAATTTCTTTAAAAACAAATCTTAAAATCTTCCTTTTGTAGATACTTATCATGTTCTCATTTGTTCGAGATGGGGGCCAGTTAGTAGACGTGCATAAGTTAGAACTGATCTTAAAATTTAATAGAACCTTTTGTTTTACTTTTGATTAAATTCGATTTCATATATTTTCGTGTTCCTTTAAGACATCTATTAGCCGTAGGAATTCTCTTTTGGATTTCAGTAATTTTATTGTTTCTATTGTTATTTTCGGAACCTAAATAAGTGAAACAGTCGACAACTTCAAAAGTATACTCTTCACTTTTAAAGTGGGAACCGTTAAAACATACTTTAGTTCATTAGCAATAAAACAATACTTCTTTACACCTAAATATCTGAAAAATCCGATTTTTGTCACCAAACAAATCGGGTTGTTCAAAACATGCACAAAAAATACAAGGCATGAGCTGAATATAAAGTAGACCGCTTTGGAGTATGCGTGAATCCATTGCTCCATTTCAATTACGCTTCTAGTTATTTTTGTAAGGGAAGCGTGTATTGTGCAAGAGAAAATAGAACCAGTACTGTCACCCAAGTGAACCAAATCATCTTTGTGGACAGCTTCTCCAACGAGGTTGTTGCCATTCCCATTGCTAATCTCTCATGAATATTCTGATCATGTAGTCAATGATAATCCATAGTGGACAGATGTTTGGAAAATTTAACAAGGAAAACTGAAAAAAAGTGACAAAAAAGGTTTAAAAAAATAGATTCTTGAATGAAAAACAGGATGAAGAAAGGTCTTGATAATTTATCACGTAGATTAAAAGATCATTATTCTTTATGCAGAGCATTTTTGACAATCTAGAAGGATTTATATTTATTTTCTCCGTGTTTTTTTCAAAGCTCCTTAATAAATTAGGAGGAAAATATTACTTTAGTTCTAACGTCGATTTGAATCCAAGAATCAAGATTTTTTTTAATACAAAAGGTTATATTCTTTCTTCTTTAAGTCAATTTACAATATATATATAATATGCTGCATTAATATTAATTTAACAGTACGCAAGAAAATAGCAACACCCTAATTACAAGGCAAAGTATAATATTTGCAATACTAGGGCATTTTTTTTATATATATATATATAACTTCTGACAATAAAGTTCGGTGAATGAAGCCAGAACGGCCAATCTGGCAATACTGGTGAAACAAAACGCTGCATATGAGTAGCGGCAGGTGTTGACCAGTTGTTTAGTTGAGTGTCGTTTGTATTCCGTGTGAGATTTGTTTTGCAAAGTTCTTGTATAGTGCGTTGGTTCTTAACTGAGCACAGGAAAATAAACACACAAAAAATCAATTTAAATTTTTGTTTTAAGCTTAGACAGACACCAAAAAAAAAACAACTTCCTGGTGTCCTAAGGTCTTGGTACGACCCTGAAACGAAATAGCAAAGCATGGAATGGCGTTCTCCTGCATCGCCTCGTCGGAAGAAAGGTCAGCGTAGACAAATCCTTTCATCAAAACGATATCAATCGTCTGTTTCGATACTAAGAACATTATCCACAAGAAATTTCTACATGTGGAAACAACGATGAATGTGCAAGGTACATTGAAATTTTGATCCATTTCCTAAAACGTCTACGAAAGGTACGACATCAGTACACACAACAAAGTTCATGATTTTTTGTTCACAACAACGCTCGCCCTCACACGGCCAATATCGTCAAAAAATTCCTGGCAAGAAAGTGGAAGAGGTGCAAATTGAACATCCACCACCATAATCGCCAAATCTCAATCCTCTAGACTTCTTCCTATTCCCACGAGTTTCAACGGTCAAAACAATACTAACTCAGTTTCGGCAAGCGACTGCACATTCATAGATGCACAGATTTTTCTAGGAAAAATCCACTTTCATCATAGATCGTGATATTAGTAGATTTCTCCAGTAATTTCCAGAGGCATCCATATGGTTGTCTACATGGTCACCAAGTCACCAAATAGGTTACATACTTGGCTCTATCCCCAACATTTCGCCAAGTTTCTTTTGAATCAAGGGTGAGCATAATGGCCAGAAGGGTGATTGTATTCTTCAAAAGGAAACATGTATTCTTCTCTTACCCCGGGGCAAAACAGTTGTTGAATCGATTGTAGAAACTGCT